GCTGCTGTGAGAGGTCAGAGTTATCAATTATGAATATTTTTTTCAGAAAGAAGGAGCGTCTAAAAAATAATAATACTTTCTAAATCTGTACAAAAAAAAAGAAAGAAAAAAAAAGCAGACAGTGGCACTTTTTTTCTTTGATCAAAATCTGCACAAAGCGTCTTGTCAAAAGTCAAAATACTACAGAGGGTGACTTCCCTTAAGAACATTTTTAACTGTTTTTGTCTTACAGAGTTAAAGAAAAAAAAAAGAAAAGTGCATTATTAATAATAAAAAGTTTATAATTCTCTCACAAGTTTCTTCTTTATTGTTGAAGACACACAGACCGTGCAGAATCCCAAGAATCTGCCACCTGGGCTTTGGAGCACCATTAGGGGGCTCAAATATCACACTGCACAGTGGGATTAGAAGGAAAAAAAGTCTCTTTCCTTCTCTCTGGGAGCAGGCCCAAGCGGTGGTGAAGCTGAATGACCCGATCAACAACCCCGTGGGCCTCCAAAACAAAATAAGCAGTGTTTTCTGTCTTGGGTTTAACTACAGTGCGGTCCTGTTGCTGGGCACTACGCGGCTGCTTAAACCCTCAGGCCCTCAAGAGAACAGCAAACCACAAGACTGCTTAGACTGGCAGCCTCAACCGAGGCTCCTCTAAGTGTAGTTTAGTAATTAGTCATGCTTAAATACATTTACTTTTGGTTAATAAATAACAGTATATGCCAAGTGGAAACTTCAGAGTGGTTGGAACAGCAACAACTGAGGTTGCCTAGTTCAGAAAATATCCAAATTATTCCTGAGTGCACATTTTTAAGAGAAGTTTAGGTTAGTTTGGAAATACTCTGGGAAGCAAACAGTGTAGCTGGTGTGTGGCTTCACAGGTTAATGTCAATTTTACTTCATACTTGCCCTGCATCCAGGAGAAAAATAAATAATTAAATGTTTTAATTTATGAAGCCGGACTGCATCCAGAAATACATTCATGCTGTGATCCTAAATGAAATATATATATAAATACACCTATAACCTACCACATTCACACAGCAAATAGATACGTCACTGTAAGCCAGAAGAACCCCCACGACACAAAAGCAGTGTGGCATTAAAGCTTACTAAAAACCAGGAAGGAAATACCAGAGACAACTGAACGCGAGGGCAACGTAGATTTGTATGAACAGTACACACCATTCATCCTGCTCTCACACAGTTCTGTACACACTTCAGTTGGATATCTTAGAAATGATCTTAACAGAAAAATCTGCTGATCAACATATCCGGTGACATATCTGCAGCCTTTATAGCACTGAAATAAGCTTACTGTTGGTGAGAATGGCCTGAAGCTTCCCCTAGTGTGTCATTAGAGTGGACACTCTTGGCCTGGGTGTGGGAAGAGTTTTTGTCCGAGCCTCCCTTTCTGGATTCAGACGATAGTGCTTCCGAGGGTGGAGAGCAAGAGCTCCTCTGCTCCTCTACAAGAGTGTTGTCACTCTGATCTGAGACTGTTCCTGCAAAGAGACAAAGCTTTGTTCTGTTGCAAATATGACTTCAAAGACAGTTTAACTGAAATTCAGTTAATAAGTCATGTCAGAAAATAATCATTACAAAAATTAAAAAACAAAAAACTCACCTCTTTTTCTGGCAGAGTGCCTGGAGAGGGGCGAGGAAGCAGGTGTTGAGCCAGAGGAAAGATGCTGCGAGTGATTGGATGACTGAAAGGATGAATGGTGGGAGTGACTGCAATCTGTGCTTTTTTCATAAGGCGACCTCCTCATCAGTTCTTCAAAGTGATTATTCACACTAACAAAGAGCGCAGAAAGAAATCGTGAGCATTGGACTTCTATCAAGAGCATATCTCCATTCTGAGTTCTGTTAACTCAAAATTTACAGAAATACATTGGTTGAAACCCCCCACAACACAATCAGACACAACACCCCACTTCCTCACACATGACAACAGTAATATGCTGTCTTCCACTATAATACATGGAAATATGGATAACATGACTTCAATAATAAGGATTCTATTCATCAAGTCAAAGCTTTGTGAGGACACACGGACGACCAGTTTTAAATCAGTTTCAGGGTCTTTGATACGACACGTACAAAAACAAAGCGAGGAAACAAAAGTGATCCTGAAAGTTGGTCTTTACTCTAAAAAGGAGGACAAATGTTTGTATCTGAGAGCGCTGGAGAAACCATCTGTGTGACATGAATGCCACCCAGTGGTGACTTTGAAGACGTCTTCAGTTACCTGGGGGAATTGGAGCTTCTCTTTATTTGCCCACTGGCTTTGCTGCTGTGTGACGATACAAAGTCATCTTCATAGACTGCTGCGTCTCCAGGTCCATTTCCAGAGGCCGCAGAATGGGCGGAGGGAGAATTCCTCTCCACATTTCTATCACTCACTAAAGAACAAGTTGGAGACAGAACACACACGACCTTATCTAAACTGACCGCTAGTGTTTTGCATACATTTATATGACCATTTCATATTAAATGCATCATGGGAAGCTATTATATGCATACTCACACGTGAACTCACCTTTAATGTGGCTGTGATGGTTTTTAGTGAAGATGTTGATTACACTCAGAGGGCTTCCTTTGTTCAGCTCTTCCCAAACTGCGTTGTCCCGGTCCTGCTGTGCAAAGGATAAGCCGAGGCCTGAGCATTTCTCTGCTTCCCGCTGGAACTCCATCAGTCGCTGGTAATCCTTTCTTTGACGTGCACAGTAGTCCGCCGCTTCCAGGCGATCTGCTGGTCTAGGTACATAATTATATCTAGAGGGGCGAGGAGGACTTTGCTCATCCTCAGAAAAACTCCCTTCACTCAGAAGAGGACCCTCACTAATAGATCCACCACTCGAATCATGGAGATCTGTCCTGTTCTCCCCCTCGTCCGTGATTTGTTTCCTTTCTGATATTTTATTCATTCTTGATTCCTTCTCCAATCCATTGACTAGCTTCCCCCTCTCTTGTGTGTAACTGTTAAAGATGGGATCGATTACATCAACAGAAGTCTGTTTACCATTCTTCAGCTTCTGCTCCCTGAAGGAATGCAGACTGCCTGCTCCTGGGAGAGCTGTGCCATTGTATGAACTATAATTTGTGGTAGTCAAAATCTTCTGGATCCTCAGAGCCATGTTATCTTTTTCTGTGTCACGTGCTGCCGTTCCTGCCCATCCATCGACAACAACAGAGGGCCTCGGCACTAAAACAGTATCCATATCCATTGATGTTGCATTACCGTAGTTGATGCCTTCCCCAGCAAGCTTCCGTGCCTCACTTTCTATGCGGTTAGAGAGGGATGCAGCCGTGGCCTTGATGGCTTCGATGCGGGACATTTTGGACCGGGACCTGCCGGAAGGGGCTGTGGCTGGTCGCGGGGTTTTCATGCTGTTACTAGCAGCCACTTCTGCCTCTATTCTTAAGAGTTGAGAGAAGAGACGGTCGTCGTCTGATCCTTGAGCAGTGCTGCTGGGTCCAGTCAAAGGTCTAGCAGGTGGGTACAAACGTTCTTGATGAGGCAAAGGCGCAACTCCAAGATCAAGATCAACCCTGTGACAAAAAAACTTTATTTAAAATGTAAGAAGACAAAAGAAGACTGAACATATCTAAGTGCAACACCTTTGGTAGGTAAGGTAAGCAAACGGCAAAACTTCCACAGACAGTAGTTATGGTTTCAAAGAGTCCTCCACTTCCTGTTTTAATGCAGGGAAATGCAGCATCCCAAACAATCATCCTGTACTTTGGTGGTAAGAGATGTAAAAAACTGACAGCAGGCTATGAGGCTATTTATTTCCAGTCACTTATCGCAGATGTTCTTTATCGTGCACTATTTTTGTTTGTTCCTGTAATAAAACACTCGTGGGTTATTGCGATGCTCATAAAACCAAACATCTGGATTTTTTTCAAAAGCCAGATGATTTTCTAGATATCAAACAAAGATCATTTCAAGAAGACAGAGGACTGCGTGTACCGGCAGGTTGTTGTTGTCTATTTGTGTTGATTGTATTGAGCTTGTTACTTGTGACAGAGGTAAACAGTTTTGTACTTGGGTATGAGCATGAAAGTACCTAGTTAAAGGAGGTGGTGGATGATCATTCAAAGACCTATCACTGCTTGATGGGCTCTGGGGTGCCTCTAGTCGTTTGTTCTCTTTGTCCGACTCTCCCGAGGGCTGGTACATCGGTCTCTGTAAAAGAATACAACACTTATTTTCGTTTTGTTTTTCCACTACATAAGTGATCATGTCTTTGTTTTTGTGAGCATACTTACCAGCTGAGTAGAAGGAACTGCAGGGAGTGTCTGCATGGCCCCTTCGCCCAGCTGGGCCTCCTCCATCAGCAGTTTGTTGTAGGTCTCTTGTAGTCGCTTTTGTACAGGGGCCACAGGAGTCTCAGTGGGGATTGCCACAGTTCTAGCAACCTCTCTTTGCTTCCTGTAGAGCTCCTGCAGTCTCTGGTGTCTCCTCTCCGATTCCTCCCTCATCGCCTTCTTCTCGTCCGCCTGACGCCTTTTTCTCTCTTCTTGTTGCCGGGCGATGTACTGGCGTACTGTATCTGCATCATAGTGCCTTTTCTTGTGCTTTGCGTCAGTTATGTTGGTCGTTTCTGGACGATGTGTAGTGGGGCTGGCACTGCGACAAGCTCTCGATGAGCTGTTTGCTGCCGCAGTAGTTCCCCAAGTAGAGACGGGCGTCCTTGTTCGTGACCCTGAGCCCCCTCTCCTACCACTGCTGCTACCCCGGGACCTTTTTCGGGCCCTCTCGTCCCGCTCGGCTGCTTTGCACTCCAGCTGAAGGTCATCCAGTATTCCCTGGATGTCTGCTGACAACAAGTCTGAGCTTAACCCTCCTGGAACCTTGTCCTGAGGGATAGATGTTGGTGTGAGGTGGCTTTGTGATTGTCCCTGAAATCCACTGCACGGCCGCTCTGTGCTGTTTGGACGCGATCGTCGCTTTGATTCTGAGCGTAGATCTGAGCGGTGGCGGGAATCTGGTGAATATTTCCCGACAAGCAGATATATCAGTAAAACAATGTGTGTTGTTAAATGACTTCAACCAAGAAAGACTCCCGTTTAATAAGTGTAATATCAACTTGACCTTCTATGCCAATAAAATGAAATATTTCATGATAAATATCAATAAAAACTGGTTCATCCCAGCTTGAAAAATGAGAGATCCTCCAACATGTGACTACAGCTGATTAAAAAATTCCTAAGCTGAAGCATCAGACATAAGAATATGCATAATAAATGAGGCTTAGGGGAAGGCATGCTATGGCAACTCTAATCTGGGCCAAATCGAAGATTCCCATGTCGTATATAATCCAGACACTCCCCTGCCATCCCCACGGTACATGCTGCATGCACTCGGGTCAGCCTCTGGAAATCAGGTCATGTGGTGTGCATCCAACCAGAAAAGCCAGTCAATTTCTATTCCTTCTGGTCAGTGGTGGCCAGTACAGACACAGCGAGCAAAGACAGAGTGAGGTGTGGCTTTATGTAAGTGTGCTGCGTGTGTGCAGCAGAAGCTATGGACTTTATTTAATGCTATTCCTTTGGCAGGCTCGGTTTTCTGCATTGCTGTCAGACGTTCCAGACAAATGAAACTATATGTCTTTGAATTTTCTTATAATATTTTCAAACTACTTTATGACAGATAATAGCATCGATGTATTTCAGGAGTTAAAAGGCTTAAAGCGGCATAGTTAACACAGGCAGATTTAAGTCAACTGAAAACAGTAGATTTCTTTTTAATGAGGTGCGAGAGGTTTAAAAATCTGGGGTACAACCTATTTTACACTTCAGTTATTCTACAAGCAACTGAGCAGAGTCACACTGACACGCTGTGGGTGAGTCTTTAATGCTTAATAGACTTCTAATGATCTTTTCTCTCTCTATGCTATTCAATTTAACTTCTTTACTGTTAGGTAAGAGCTTGCTGTTCTCACCTGTTCGGCTCAATAAGTCAGCCGCATGTGGACTGTCCTCCTCTCTGGGCAGCTGAGGAACTGGACCTAGTACCATCTTCACCAGCTTCTGGCCCTCTCGCCATGATGCAGGGCTGATCGCTGCAAAGTAGCAAAGTTCACACATGAGACTGTGTGCTGCTGAAGAGCAACTGAGTATAGTTGCTCTTGGCCTCATGAAACATAAGCATCTATATATCCACCACCAGAATAGACACACAGCTAAGAGAATGAAAGACAAGCAGCAATCTGACTTTGCTTTAGTGGGATTTAAATGATTATTCAATCAAATACTATTACAATAAAAGTTGCTCTAAGTCTATTTTTCAAATCACTTAAGTTGCTGTGTGGAAGAGTCGATGCACCAAAGGAACAATGAGTGCAGAATACTGATTTTGCAGTACAACCAAATCCCCAAATGGATATTGTCCTCCTTGGCTTCAGTGACACAGCAGGTACAACACTCTCAGCACAAAAGCAATGTCCCTCTATCTGAAATCTCTAGAGCACCCTCCACTCTGAATTCTCGTGAAGAGCAGTTCCCGGTAATGAAGCTGCACTTCTGCTCACCCAGCAGCTGTTTGTGCAGAGTGAAAGAGCACACTGAACCTGGCCACAGATCTAAGGGGGCTATTTATAGAGTCGTGAAGGAAAGAGAAGAAACCACGAGACCAAAGCGAGCTAGAACACAAGATAAAGATCTTTTACGGCTTTTAGGGTAGCTTGACTCTGTTTTTTAAAACATCGTTTTCATTTTTGCCGTGGAAAAAAGAGGAACTACATGAAACAGGATGCCAGTTAGAGTCAAAAAGCTGAAGTTGGTGTCTTAACCTTTAGTAAGCTAATTCTGCACCAATAGCTGACAAATCAAAGGGCCTATAGCTCAAAGCAAGGTTAGTGGCTTATCCATACCATAATGTAGAACACTTTTAATGAGGATAGATTAAGCTCAAACGGTGACCAATCAGATCTCTTAAAACAAGAAATCACACAAAAACCAAACATGTACACAGGAGTCTATTATAAAGAGACATAATGAACAGCAGACAGACAGGTATGTGACAGCTGAGACAAACTTGTCTGTCCCACCCTTTCAGTTTCGCGCTGACGACTTCCTTCCAAACCAGTTCTCTGAAAACGTTGCTGCCTTTACATTCTTGATTCATTACAGCAGCTGAGGATAAGATTTTAACATGATAACTGTAAAAAAACAAAGTGGCACATCCTTTGTAACTAGAAAAATAATCATTTAGCACTCTTTGAGTAGTAATAGGACACTTTGGTCAGGCAGACCTTAACATTACATTCTAATTATTGAAGATGGATAACAATCAGACACATTAAATATGTACTTTTGATGGCAGCTTGTTGAGGGGGTGAAGCTCTGCTATGATCAGGTTTCACCAGTGTGTGTGGGCACAATTCTACTATGCTGGTGTCTGTACGCTACTAGCTGGCCACAAACTGCATGTCACACATGCTGGACATTTCTTGAGAGGTTTGAGTCTTAACACTTAACCAGCAATACACTGACACACACACACACACACACACACCTGTTAGAGACAACTACAAAGATCAAAAGAACACACTAAATACTAAAGCACAAACACTTGCAGGATGTTTGGGCAGGCTGCTTGCATGTAAACAACACCAATTAAAAAAGTTATTACTCTGGTTGTGTACATGCGAGCCAAAAGTTTAATATTTGAAAGCATCGAAATCACTACTCAACTGAAACTCAAGTGTGCTGGCTAAAGCAACAACAAGAACATCTATGAATACATATAGAAGGGAATAAAGGTACATAAGGAACGCTGTGTATACTTAGAGTGCAGACAGGAAATGAGCAAAGCTAGGGGATGAGAAAGTACCACAGAGATGGTTCAACATTTGAGGCTCTTGGTTGGCAGCATGTTCACTGACCCGTGACAAAATCCTGCCAGACTGTTCCACTTGCTTAGCTTTCCCACTGTCACTAATTAAAAATAGATCAGGGGGTGGGTTTGCCCACACATAAAAGAGGATTATTATACCTGGTTTTGGATTTAGGTCAGAGGCAGGGGCAGCTCTGTGGACCTTCCTAATGGTTTTGGGAGGCCTCCTCTCTTTGGACCTGTCTGCTCTCTGTTCCCTCTGCTGTTGGTGCCTGTGTCTGGTGCTCTCTGAAGACATAAAACACATACAGAGAATAAGCTATGAAGCCAAACAGACGGGGACAATCTAATATTTCAACATCTGGGATATTGTAAATCAAAGGCTGTGCATAAATCTAGATTTATGCAGAATCCAAAAATATTTAAATTAACTACTGTTTTCAATAAATCTGTTGTGTTTCAAAGCTCAGATAAAAACATCATGACATGAAGAGTGTTTTGTGTTTACCCGCAAACTGCTTTGACAGGTCTCTGTAAAGTTCTCTGCTGAGGTTATGGAAGTCCTCTTCCTTCCAAACTTTCCCATCAGGAGTCCGGATCTTTGTCTCTGTACTGTTGAAACCTGTGAATAAAATGATGGTTTAAATAAAACACAGCATCATGTTCCCTGCCATACAACTCAAATCTGTCAGAAAGGTTGAACACGATGAACCAATCCTCCAGTGGAGATACCTTTGTATATGGGAGCAGGTGGTGCAGCTGCTACTTTGCGTATTTTGGCTGTCGGCTTGTTGCTTGTACCGGCATCATTAGTCTCAACAAATGCAGCTAAAGGCTGTTCCAGATTGCCCATCAGCTTCTCCCTCTCTGCAGCCTCCTCCAGATGTTGTCTCTGCCTTCGAATACGCTCTTTGAGTTTCTCCAGCTTGTTGTCGGGTTGATGTCGTCTTAGGTTTTCCAACCGCTGGGAAGCTGAACCAGGGCTGGTGGATGGCGTGCTGTCCTCTTGTCGAAAAGAGCCCGGGGTGGAAGCAATACATGGGCTTGACTGTTGGCTATCCATGCCAACTTGTGCTTTGGGGCTGCTTTCCTTAGTCCTTATGCTATCCAGGGCTGGCTGGTCATTGAGGTAGCGCACCTCAGTGCTCTCCCGACCTGAGGAGCGTGTGCTGTCTAGGTCCTTGTCAGCCTCCTTGTCTGTGGTGTGTTTCTGGTAGACCAGCTGGCTGGGCAGAGAATCTGAGTGGGGGGGAGAGGATGGGGACAAAGACGCTGGCACCGACTTCTGACTGTAGGCCTCTGGCTGAGAGGAAGGATGGGGTGGTGGGGTGGCCTCTCTGGACACAAATCAGATTACATGGGATCAAGAAGAGGATCAAGATTTACTTTTAATTCATTGCTCACCGAGTTTACAGAAGAACATATTTACTGGCGGCCATGGGTTATAGAAGGCTGGAAAAATGGACTCTACCAAAATGTTTAATGATGAAAAAGTGAAAACCTTTGACAACACTAAAATGATTTGGATATATTAATTTTTAGTAATAAATTTTAACACTACCCGCAGTGCACAATGAGATCGTATGTGATGCTTTCTACGTATCGTGGACCATTAAGTACAAACCAAAACAAAAACAAGTCTGATCCATCTCCTTCCACTTCCCATACAATATTGATACCTACCAGTCAGTGTTAATACTTAATGAGTTAATGAATTAATCATTATAGATGTTGAAGGACCAGCATCAGGCTTGACTTAGTCAATGCTTTCCTAACTCTGTAAAATAAAATGTAAAAGATAATAATGAAGACACTGCTCTGACCTCAGCTCAGTGTTAGAGTAACATCAGACTGCATACTGCTAATTTCTCCTTTTTCTGCTTGCACTGAGAGTACATATGTACACCACACACGTACACGCCATACACACACACACACACGCACAAACACAGCATTTTGAGTCAGGCTGACAAAGTGAACATTAACTGAGTTGACGACAGGTTATGTTACCGTAAGTGCAACAGAAGATTCCCAGTAACAGTCACACTGTACATAAACAGAAAAGGTGAGTAGGAAAACATCTTCGTGGGAAGTGTTAAGTCACCTGACCCCACTCTGCAGTGACGTAGAAAATTATTAAAAACATACAAAGAAAAAGCTGCTCAGTTCAGTCTTTGCTGTTAGCATCTTCTATTCTATGCTGTTTCTCACACTAGTAACATATGAGTAACTTATGCACTGTATAGTAAACACGCACGCACACACACACAAACACACACACACACACACAGTAGCACAAAGCATTAACAAGATACCATGTGCATCTCAAAATATGTCATAACTCCTCAACCATTTTGGGCTAGAGAGAAAATTCAAATGGTTCCAGAAAGATGAGAATTATGTTATAATTTTATAGCCAAAAGCAGCCAGGTGGCTTCGTAAAGGCTAATCGATGTTTCATGAATGCATTTTAGTTCATTATTCGTACCTGTATGAGGCCAGCGGTTCCCTGAATTCCACGCTGTTGTTTCTTCTGACATTTCTGTCCTGGGTGGTATTTCTCAAGGGGCTACGTGAGCTGCTCTTTTCTGGGCTCTGCTGACTTCGACCTCTGGGCTTTGAAGACCCTCTGATGTCATCAACTTGTCGTCCATCTATCATAGAGAGCAATCTTATTAAAAATCATTACAGAACTCACAAGTGACCTTGTATTCAGACTGTAGTATACCAAAATTAAAGGAAAACCCAATTAGCCATACTACAATTTACAAAGAACAGGTTTTATATCTTAGAATAACCCACCTCTGTGGTGGGCCCTAGAGGATTTCTTCTTGTTAGAGTCAATGACAGAGTCCAGGATAACTCCTGTTCCTGGAGCTGCTTGTATACGATTTTCTATGTGCCGCAACTACAAAGAGGAAATACCATTGTCAGTCTGCGCACATACTGCAAATTCAATTCTGCTTCTACAAAAAAGACAGTGATTTAGGAAGAGCTTACAAAAAGCACAGTTTCAACAGAAAACCATTTCAGTTGTACTTACAGCAACTTTGGACTGAGCCAAACTTTTCCATGCAGCTGTCAGCTCTGTTAAAGTGTAACAGTGAAGATAAAATGTAAATTCCAAAACCCATATCACCCATTTAGGTTACAAAAAGTCAAATTAATTCGTATTTCAAAAAAACAAAAACACCAAAATTAAAAAGGAAATTCTTCTACACACCTGTGCCAACATTATGATCAGAAAGGTGCTGAGCAGAACTTTTAAGAGATGCCTCAGTCCTCCTGCTGCTCCTCATCTCTCCCACTCACCTGCAGTTAAACAAATTACCAAACATATTACTGAAAGAACCAAAAAACGTGACAAACTGTAAGTGAGATCCACACAAAAACCAAACCAAAAATGTTAACTGAAACCAAAACAAGGAACAAAGTACTAAAAACACTGGAACAAGTCAGTGACAGACAAATAATAATTCAAAAACATGAAGCACTACAGTTCGTACCCAACATAGTAACAAGTTAAAATGCAAAGTAGTCATGGCTCGGCAGAGGTATGCAATTTGTCACACAACAACAGCATAACTCTGCTACCCCGCCATTTAAAACAGGTTCTACAGCCTCACATTCCTAAGATGTAAGCACAACTCAGATATGTGATGTTTACTCAAAACACCTGTAATGCTAGTCACATGTCTGCTTTAATGGTAGGCGCTGCATATATCAAGTCTGTTAGCTGTTTTGTCCTGATTAGGAAAAAGTCTTCCTCTACAGCAGGGGTGTCAAACTCAAATACACAGTGGGCCAAAATTCAAAACTGGAACAAAGTCGTGGGCTAACATTAATATTTATTGAAAAAAAAAATCTTCCTCCAGATTTAAGAATGAATCTTTTCTTATGGACTCAAACAAGTTTTGCTGAAAAACTGAATATGGAACAAGCAAAGTTTAATACTAAACAATATATATATTAGCTGTATAATACCAGTAGGCCAGCTCTAATAGTAATTTGGTATGGCTTCGTGGGCCAGAGTTTGACACCTATGCTCTACAGCATTAATGGTTGCCAATGTATTCAGATAATTACAGCACAGATCTGTGAGAGTCAAGTCTAGTCAGTGAGACACTTAAGGGTGTTTTGCACTAACATTTAACACTTGTTGAGTCATGAGGAATTCTTGAGAAGTCATGCCTTTGCCTCATAACAATCACGTGACACAGCCCTGGGGCGAGATAGGAAAAAAGGAGAAGAAGAAAACTGAATCCACTCTTCTTCAGTGGCCCTCCTTGTTCTGTTATCAGAGCCATAAACAAATTACTGATAGGATACACTCGACTCTACAAACTTATTAAAAGACTGTTTTCTACCACGGACCGCTGTATTTGCTGTTGTGCGAATCCAAAACGCCACACAAAGAGCAGCTAAACTCTGAAACATTAAACTTTTTGTAAAGTTAGTAAATTCACAAGGAAATGTCGTTTTGCTGGGCTGTCACATTCACTACGGAAATATGCTGACGTTGGCTGAGTTTAGAAAAACTGCACACCCCAGCATTTGTGAAACTCTTTTTCTTTTACAAGTTTAACCCAAATAACAGGGGCATTACAACCAAGGTGAACTTATTCTGCCGATTACCTTAAATGTAAAACCCAGAGAGTTTAAAATATCACTGTATACCGGAATGATCCTGTATTCCTGTATAAGGGAACACACTGCTTTTAGACATTTGGGACTTCTAAAGTTTGAAAACGATAATATATTGAGACCCCAAACTTCCAACAGAGAAATCAAACTCTTTAGCAACATATCAATGGAGTAAAGGAGGATACTCTGTGAGAATTTGATGACAAAAACACTTTCACCGATAGAGTGGAGGTGTTTCCACCACTAAAGCCGTGTAAAATCCAAGATGGCGCATAACTTCTTCTCGTTAACCGTTTGACGCGGCTTTCAGCAGCAGCGGCTCGGTGCTGCCGCAAACGGGAAGAAACTGTATTACAAAAACACTAACACCGACTTGACTGCTGCAATGCAGCTTCACACCACAAGTGTCACTAGTGTGCAAAAGGTTACTTAACAGCACCTCAGTCGTTCAGCAAGGAGGAAATAATTGGCCATCTTCTACTTTACATGAGCTCTATTGACTTAACCGTAAATCATCAGGACTCGATCTTAGTTGTGTTTTTGGTTTCTTTAGAGCCACCTGGAGTTGCATTAATGCCGCCGAATACGGCGCCGATAAGTTTACCTTAGCTTCAAATAAAAATATCATCTAGTTGTAAAACGCCGAGTGCCCAAAATAGACGAATTCAGACTGAGCGCATCCGGAGATATTCAAACGGTATCTGTAGTCAGTATTAACAGCACCCCTATTATTATCGATTCTGTTAAACAATAACTATGCGAAACAGGAAGTGATAGTAATGTTAAAAACCTTTAAACTGTTCTGTCAAAGAATATAGCTAACAGTATCCAGGAATTATTCGCTCAAGCAACGGGGCTACAAAACTAATTTATATCTCGTATTGGGTGTTAACTTAGAACCCAGGGTATTACGGATTTTTCATAATTATTGTTTTTCATAATAACTATGTTAAGTTGTCCAATATACTCTGCGTGCGCTCAAAAATCACGTTTGTAACTCCGTCTGACTTAAAGATGAGGTACCGCGTAATGTCTTCGGTCCAGTGAATAGTCGGAGCCCCAACTCGAAAGAGTGAATAATAACGCTAGCTGACTAGAAAATCATGACTGTACTTGGCTATTCCAGTTTTAGGAGAGTAATAATATGTACCTTCAGTGAAACGATCCGGTGTGTCTAGATGTCCGCATTTATGTCGATATCCTCATGATAAGAAAATCCAAAGTTCTCCGGGCGACTTCTTCAGTTTCGTTCAGCTGTATGTTTGCTAACGTTAGCATCAGCTAACGATGTGGAAAACCAATGTCAGTTAGCAGTTTTGCCAACTAAGCCAGCAACTTTTTTCTACATTCACCCATCGCCTCAGAGTTAGTCCAGAGAACAACGTCTCCCGTGTTTCGCTGTGAGATTCCTTCAAAGAAATGTCGCCACCCGCCTCCGAGGTCGCCTTTCCCGGGTTACTATGATGATGTTTCTCAACAGTGAAACTGGAGTATCCAGGACGTGTAGGTAACTGAGACACCGAAATCTCGCGAGAATTCAAACACGAGAAACACCGGTAAAAGCCCACCTCCGCTCCCATGGCAGCAGTAATAATAATAATTATAATAATAATGATTAGAAACATACCTGATATACTTGAAGCGTCTGAAACTTAATTTAATGAACCAGTTTGATTATATTAAATCATAAAGTCTAAAAAGCAGCTGTACAAAAAACCCAGATTAATTCACAGAATAACGAAGAAAAACTGAAATCTGAAATGTATTTTCTAAAAATGCTTTAAAAAATGAAATAAAAACATATCCGAGAATCGAAGGGCATTAAAACCAGAAAAGACTTCTTAACTCAAGTTATTTTTGCCTATGTGAAGCTGGACGACACTGCGTCAAGAGTTCAATGAACTTCACCAACATATCAAAGAAAATATTGTTTTTTACTTGTTCCAGAATTATGTGGTCAAAATGAGCAGCTGGAGAGAATGGAGACAGACTGTGGGAGGCAGCTGAGGCTAAATGTGTGTGTACAGATCAGACAGACTGCACACACAATAAAAGGGCCAGCGACTGTTTCAGGTACACAGCTCTACATGAAGTATCCAAAGGTGTACTCAAAATGGTAAGATGTGTACCTAATAATTTAATCACAGTCAAAGCATGCTGGCAACACATTTCGAGGGTATATGTGTGTATTTTCTTTATTTCTGCTTTTAATGTGTACATTACATCAACAAGCCAAATAAAGATTTTATTTATTTATTTATTCAGATTAAATTTAAAATAGTTATTTGTTGAAACGCAGTAAAATATTGTGCATTACTGTAGCAGGATGGGCAGAAATCTTTACAGTGACGTCGGGTTAACCACTTTTTACTCATTACCAGACAAAATAAGAGAAAAAGTCTTTGAAAGTTTTTGTAATTTGTAACAAATTTCCCACGCGTGGGACTAATAAAGGTTATCTTATCTTATCTTATCTTATCTTATCTTATCTTATCTTATCTTATCTTATCTTACGTCGGATTACATCCTGCAAAACTAACCTCAAGCACTCAGTTTTATTGTGTTGATTCGCCTGTTTGCACAAGTGTGACAATAGATGTATTGAAAAGACCAGGTACTCCCTGAGGCTTCAATCTTGGCATATAGGCTACACCCATGAATATTTCAAAGTTTCCTGAACAGCTAGTCAAGCCGCACAGCACGGCATGAAGGATAACGCTCAACATATGTGCGATTACTGCCCCCTTGCGGCTCGATTGTGTATTGCACACAGATATAACCTGCTGGTTGCATGGCGTCACCGTGGATGCTCCACTTATTCAAGAAGTTACCTCAGCCCACTTACCTTACGTTCAGCTCGTTTAATTCACTTTCCCCCCTTTTCCCCCCTCGATTGATTTTTATTGTAGGCCACTCAGACTTGGCGATTGGTCTCTATGACAACAAATGAAGTGCGCCGAGAAAACTGGACAGAATAGTTTGATGATCTGTTCCCGGTGTTAACAGGTGAGTCATAAATATAAAACAACTGTGCAGCAGAGATTGCCATGAAGGTAGAGATTCAGGTTTCCAGGTTATGGCTGCTCGTTTAGACAAAACAGAAAGCAACAAGTAAGCAGCCGTGCTTAATAACAGATTACGAGAACATTTTCTTATTGAAGTAAACAAATTGTCTAAATGCTTTAATTAACATATGGAATATTTAGTATTTTCAGTAAAGATTTGCAGCTGCCAGCTGCTCCATTTCCCCGGATACCCTCTCGGCAAATAACCCGACACAGTCTCTCGCTCTTTCTCTCTCTCTCTCTCCTTCTCTGTCTCTCTTTCTCCGGGCAGGCAGGATAGGACGTCGGACGTGGTCGTGTCTGCTGCTACATTTTCATTTTGTCTTGAAAGGTGAACGAAATGGAAAGGAGTTGTTTCTTTGTAGGTAAGGAATCCGGCGTTTTTCCTCGTCAAACAGGTGTTTCGCGACTGTATTCAGCTTGTAGCCTGAACCTTTTGTTGGCAGATGTTTGTGAAAACCAAAAAGAAAGGGAGCAGAAATCCCAAATGAGGAATATCTTATTCACTGATGCTGATTAATGGCAGATAAATCGTGGATTGTGAAGGTGTTCTGTGATGTGACTTGAAAGTAGATTTCATTTGCTGATTGGATCTCGGCTAATTAAAGTATATACTACAATTCAACATAAATTAACTTTAAAAATATTTTTGTGTGTTTATATATTACATGAACGTGATATGCTGTATGTCTTTTTCTTTTCTATAGTTCTTTTTTGGCAGGAAGCTGTTTTTCAAGTCCACTCCCTTTGCCATGTTTGCATACATATCATTCAACGACATTATCCAATTAGCAGCGCGCTAAGACCATTACAGAGCCCCAATCACTCTTCACTGTGGCTTTTACCAGTGTAACAGATTGACAGGACAGTGGAGTGAGTCATTAGAGTCACAGGGATGCAACAAGATTCAATTCAGAGTGCCAGCGTAGTTGTCAGTATTAGGAACATGTGGAAGCAGGCTTTAGCCAGGTCCTGCTAATAATTTAGTGGACTTACACCAGATAATGATAAAAAAAATTCTAGGAAAGAGACTCTCTCTCTCGCTCAGTCTCAGAGGCTGTGGGAAAACAGCCATCATTACCTCAAGGAGGAGGAATTAATTAAAGTAGAGAAAATCGAGAACACATTTGCTGCAGTGAAAGTGTGTCTGGCATGTTGTTCCTCAGGTTTTACCTTCATGTAATTTACTTTCATCAATCACTCCTTTCGCTGCCATGTGTTTCTTTGACTTGAGACTTTGGGGATGTTTGTCATCATCTTCTTGAAAGAAGAACCCGTGTTGAGACCTGTTGCAGAACAGTCAGATAAACTAATCCCATCAGTCTGTTTTCTAATGTAACTGGAGTTTCACAGCGGAGTAAGAGGCAACCTGAATAATCAGTGTGTGTATTTTAAATGACAAGCTGCCGGCTAACACTGTGCCATCTTCTTCACTTGAAAGATGTCTTTGTCGTGAGCCAGTGCCAGTTATTTCTCCCATTGCTGCCCAGTACAGCAGGCAAGGTCATAACCTTTAATTAGAACTGATCCAATTATTTTATTCACACAAGAAGTTGCTTAAATCAATTCTCTCAATTGTCTTCCTAAATAGTTTCATCATGACGCTTGTCAATTTCCTTTAACTGGACGACGTTAATCCTTTCTTGTCAACAGCTCTGATTGTCCTGATTGAATAACACCGCTCTACTACGGGGTGTAAATTGGTTTTCTTGGTGTATAAATTAGTGCCTGTGATCAGCACGAAACTGAACCTAATGAAACCTCTTGAACCCATTTTTACAAGACGAGCTGTGTGTGTATTTTACCACCTGCTTCACATTTCCTGTGATTCATCTTAAGTATTTTTTTATATTATTATTTTAAAGAACAGCGTAACCAGAGAAGGTTGCTGTTAATGCTGCTCTCGTAGGCGGGTCTCTAACGGTAATGAATGTTTAATCTCTAGACTAGGATTTTACCTCTTTAAATACAGCGAAATGAAAACGAATGGCAAAGACACGCAAGTGAAGAATGTCTCTGATCAAGTGTACTGGAAAAAAAGAACGAGACTCTTAGTCGGCTATAAAATTCTGAGCGAGGAATGATTGGTTGGAATTAAATCTGAGATACTGCCGATAAAACATCCGTTCACCTTGGACAAAAGAACAGCTCGAAACAGGAAAAATAAAACTATGATTTGAGGCTCTCTCTTCAGACTGTCCCTGGTCCAGAGGCCGGCGACTCAGAATTGGTTCAGACACTGCTCGCTTTGTGTTTGAACCACTCGTGCACCGTGTTTGGGTCCTGTTTGTTGTACATACACTAATGTGGTTCTTCACTCTGATAAACACCAACATAAAGCCGATGTACTTTTCATTCAGATACGCCCAAATGTGACCAGTTTCCAGTAGTGAGTCCCATTTTCTCCAGCAGAGACAAACAAGTGTTTCTGGCAATAAATCCATAAACTGTATTGATTTAATTTCATCCCAAAGTTCAGAGTGTTGCAGCTTGTTTATGAATCGGAGGGACGCAGATTTTTCCACGTTTAATTTATATTTTTGTTTCGAATGGCTGCACATCTTCTTCTTGTGGATCCATTTTTGCAGAGGCTAAATGTCAGCAGTGTTAGCGCCGTGTGCTCTTTGTGGACAATTGTGCACACAGCGATATTGTGCAGCAGACTGTTCCTAATAAAAGGGCGGATTATGGGATGCAAACCTTTAAAATGATTTGCAAAACATTTCAGAGTAAATTCCATCAAAGCTTTTTATCTAGTGTGCAACTGTAAACCAGCGACGCTGCAGATTCCTGTGTTTATACCAAAAGCAGCGACTTGTTTCGCTCCATACGCTGCCTGCTGTAAAATATGATTTACCTGTAACGGTGAGGCGCTATGTTTATAGCTTTCTGTGATTTTATAAGGCCTGGGGCTCTGGGTTTTCTCACGGTGGTCCCGCACAGACATAGATGACAAAGAAGTGTAATCTTTCATGACCTCTCTGCATCGAAACATCATGAAAGATGGATATTTCCTCTTGTGATCGTTTGTTGCTTCATTAGTTCATAAATGCATTATTAAATAAAGTTGGCAGGTTTTTTAGATTCTAATATTCCAGCCTTTGCTCTGCTCCCTGAAGCCTCTGAACCTCCCAGTGATTAGAGCACAAGTGTGAAGTGTTCCTATTAGTGATCATTACTGATCTAAAGGGTCACTATTGCATAACAGTCTTTGCTAGAAGGTCATGATAGCAATAGGATCCCTCTGAGAAGCATCTTTTCATCTTCTAATGGCTCTGTGCTGTGGAATATGTGGCTTCGGTAAAAGACATAAAACATGATCTAAAAGAATATGATTTACTTTTAGAGTCTGCGTGCATATCGAAAGTCTAATCTAAAGAATAATACTGAAACGGATCCACAAATACAGTTACCCTGGGTGCTGTCAAATGTCCCTGACTCTGGTTT